AATACACTTTATACACACATAGCTCAGTACCCCTATCAAGCTGATACTGGAGTGACACGTAATGGTTGCTGTTTTGGAAGTAAAACACCGGAAAACTCTGGTTCCAAATTAACCGGTTTTCCTTGCACGGGTTCAATCTGAAATATTTTCTGTTTTGTCTTGTATTTTAAGTAAATAATCTAGATCGGTGACCTTGTAGTTCTGTAGCAAAGTGACGAGGCCAACAAAAAGCTCTACCCTAGCCAGGGCTTCTCCTGCACATTGTCTTTTTCCAATGGAGAATGGACACATTTGCTCGACTGTCTCCTAATAACCGTCACTATGACTTATAGGTCAAGAATCATAATTAAAGCTTTGAACTACCTTATTAGTCGTAATACCATCATCTAGAAGAAATCTCTCTGGTCGAAACTGTTTAGGATCTTTGAAAACTGGAGAATGAGCCATCACATGCTGTATGTGGCCAATCACAAAGGTGTTTGCTGGAATTGGAATAGAGCCAACGCTGGTGTCCTTTACAGTGCGATGGTTTACATTTAAGGGGACGATGTTGGCGCATCGTTGAATCTCATGGATAGCTGCCCTAAAGAGTAGTCGACTAGATAGATTACATCCTTATATTGGTAATTTAAGTATAAAATGTTTCTCCAAGGGGATGTGAGGAGAGAGTAGGCGAAAAAAGGCGTGGCTTTTTCAGGGCTACATTAACACCAACTTTTGTTTTTAATAAGTTTTTCCTCATAACCCCTTCCTCCATGTGTCTATCGCTACAGTCCACTAACATAGTATATGGCATCTGATTCCGGAAATTGGCCGTTGGCTTCCCATCTGCTCCAATAATAGACATGATTTCTTCGCGAATTTTATCCTAAAGATGCAATGTTATAAACAGTTTTTTTTCTAATTTTTTCAAAGCATCGCCTTACTTGGACTCTTTGATTAGTGGCCATGAACAATGTGCTCCATCTGAGTGTTGTGCTTGTAGTTTCCATTCCAGCCAAGTAAAAATCCATGCATACGTTGAGTAGATTCTCAAAGCTGAATACTA